GTAATGACAGCAGCAAGGGACACTACCACAATGCTGCTGACACAAGAAAAGAAAAAAAAAAAGATACTACTAATCATTTCAGCTCCTTTAACAAAAGGTCAGCATGATCTGAGGAGGCTGGATGTTGGGGAAGAGTTTTAATAACCTTTGCTCAGTAGAAAACTGGGATGTGTCTGAGGAAAGCACCCCAAGGTGACTGCCACGGCCCTGAGTGCTGATGGTATCTCTCCTTCCTCTTCCTCTACGGGATAAAGAAACCCCTGCTCCACCATGGAGCCCCTTCTCATCCTCTCACCTGCCAGGTAAGGCTGCACTAGCTTTGGCCCTTTGCCGCTGGTTGAAGGGAGCACCCTGCAGAGAAAGCGTCAGGTGTGGGCTCTGGGGAGAAGGTACAGCACAGTAGGGCTAACATGCAGAGGGGTTACAGCAGGCCTAGAGGCCCCATATGGTGGTATCTCGTATGGGAGATGCCTGACTGCTGCCAGTGACAGAGCCACCAACCCACCCTGCATGGCATGCTTAGAGCCGCAGTACTCCTGCAGTACAGGTGAGCCCTTGCTGCCGGTCCATATTAGCACTGAACAGACCACCACTTGTGAAAGATGAGGTGGAACACGCTTAAAAACGAGAGGAAGTCAGTTATGTGGTCCCTTATGGCTCCATACTGGCTCACTTCTTCCTGTTCAAGATACAAAGAGACAGCAAGAAATACTACAGACTAAGGGACTAGAGCAAGGGTCCATGACCTAGATCCTGACTGGGTGAAAGCTTCCACCTACCAGTACCAAGCACACAAGCCATAGGCGAAATGAATTAATTTCACATAAAAATAAATCTAAGGAAACTGTACTCTTTTTACATGATATATACACTGTGTATTTTAATACTTAGTCATCAACAGGTGCACGCCACACAATCAGATTCCACAAGGTCATCATCTACACTTTGAGATTTTAAAATCTAAGGATAATCATCATAGCTTTGAGCAATATGGGAAAAGGTGAAGTTATGTTGGATAGGAATTACTGCATGTCGTCAATTTTTCCAAAGGTGATAACGTGAAATAAACATTAGCTCATTTGAGGAAGACTATGCTTAGAGGACAGAAACGTGCTTACCACTCACTGTGAGCTTACCACTGAGACCCTACACACAGTTTACACAGAGATGTTGATATGCAGTCCATGTATGCTGTAATAACCCTCTGGAATGCAGTGTTGTAGAGAATTTCTTTTAAACACCTCTCTGGAACATACTATTATAAAAGAAGTTCTCCAATTATTACAAAAACTCCTGTAATAAACTTCTGCTTGAAATGACTCAAAAGCAGTTTCAAAAGCATTCAGGTTTCACTTATGTTCAGCTGAGCAACAAACTAAAAGCCACAGCAGCTTCCTGAACTACCTCACCTGGTACTTGCAAAAATATTGGACTGATCTGAAAGCAGAAATAAACGTCTGGGAGCAGGTCAGAAGCTTTCTAATGGCAGTAGTACTAGCTTACACCAGCTTAAATGTTTGTGAAATGACGACAGGTATCTGATGATATCAAACAGATTAAGAAAAAAGCCTTTGCTGCTAGCAGATCATTTCTCTCTCATTGAATAAAAAAAAAAACCAACAACAACTGTTGAGAGGGTGGGAGAAGGGACGGAAGTCAACCAGCCACAACAAGAGGGTGTCTTACAAATAGAAAGGAAAACTGTAAATGTCACCTACGCTAATTAAGACTTTAACTGGACTCTCATGACATTCTCATGAGAACTACTGTGCTTTTGTACATATAAACACACTCTGCAACTTTCTCTCATTAAAACTGACTCAGCAGCTCTGTGGACTAAATTCAAGAGAGTTTGCTCCAACGACTCCCTCTGTCCTGGTAGTCCTTCAAAGCTGCTGCACTCTTCCATACCCTCTTGGCACTGAACTCCAACAAGAGTTGGATAAAACTAAGTTGCAGTTCTGTCTGCAAATGAAGATACAAATTAGTTTTGTATGACAGAAATATGGTGCTATATATTGAAGGTAAAATTCCCCAAATTGTACTTATTGATAGCTCACTGTGAAAACTTAAGTGTGACTGAATTTCAATAAACATGGGTAAATCAATATTCAATATTGGCATTAATAACCTGGACTACTAAATAGCGGTATGCTTTTTAAAGTTGTAGATAAAATTAAGTCACAGGGAGATGCAAAAAAAAACAACAAATAAAACAACAAACAATAAATGAATAAAGGGCAGAATTAAAGACACAAGTTATGCAAAACAAGACTTATTTCCTTCAAGAAAAAATAAATCTAAGTCCTCCCAGTATCCATATACCATTAAGAAAACCATGATGAGGCTCTGCTTGGATTCATGGTTAGACACAACTTTTTAGAAGATGAAGTTGGAAGCCCGGAGCGCCAAAGCATTGGTTGTAAATGTCTGAACATCCATCCAAGTTGAAAGTTCTGGTATTGAAGAAATGAGGTTTCAAGCGCCACTAGCAGTTTAAAGTTATTTCCTCCTCTCCACTACCACATCACTAGGCCTCAGGTCTGGATAGTACTACAAAGCACAAAAATTTAAGAGATAAATTGGGTTCAGCTGTCAAGATGCTACAGACCCACTCATCATTTCTCCAGCCCTGGTCATGTCATTTCGCTCACTACGGAAGAAGAAAGCTAACCTAGTAAAAAGAGAATTAACATATTTGAACCAGTTTAGCAGACAACTTTTTGGAGTGGTAGGGAGCAGAATACATCAGCAACAGGTTGCTAGATTTGCCCAGCCATCTCACAAAGTAAGACAGCAAGATTCTCGACATTATCACTACATTTTTCCTGAAGTAAACCTGAGAATTTATGAAGTCTTGGATTCAGATAAATATGATACTTCCCTGCAAGATCCTTCTAAACCACAAAACAACCAAAATAATTCCAGTGCTGCTGACAGCAAAATGATTGTCACAGGGTTGTACAGCAGGCCACTGGCAGAGAAAACATGCAGCTTTACAATAATTATACCTTAAATCCTAAACTTCCTTAACAGATTTTTGTGGAAAAAAAATGAACAGACATATCACTTCTATTAGAGCTTACAAAAATACTGATCACTGATGTAAGCAGTAAGACTTGCAGTCCTTACACTCATGCATCAGCTGAATTCACTGGGGCTGCAGATTTAAAAAGCAGAATTTACACAGAATATGAATAGCAACTTCTACTTCAATAACTTGAATTTTAAGGAGAAAATTATCCATTATCCACTAGGATATCCATTTAAAGAGAAAATTATCTCCTTATCCACTAGGGATTCATCTTACAGACACCTAATTTTAGGCTACAAGAAAACCTGTAAGCAAACTGGTATTTTTGCAACTTACACAGTACCAATCTGTTTTGTGCTCTTACAAAAAAAAAAAAAAATCCATCTTCCATATATTATGCTAATGTTCTGAATAAAACCACAAACAAATTATCTGGTAGTAACTGCTCACTTTTTAAGCATTAGCTTGCCAGAGTTTCATTACATTTAAACTTTCTATATTGTCACTCTTTTCTTAAAGCACTGAGAAAATTATCTTTAAATGTAGAGCTTCTATGCCCTAAATCACTCGGGCCGCACCTAGAGAGGCAAGACAGTAATTTGTGGGCACTGTGAGGCCACTTCATTATTTCACTCTATATTCTGCACTCTTCCTGGGTGACAGGGTCAGGGCTGTTGGAAACAGAATGGCCTGCAACAAACCAGGCTTCTCCTCCATCCTTAAGTGATTAGATGTTATTACACAACAATACTAAGCTATTAACTTGTTCAGAGTCTGTATCAGGCTTAAAGCAAGTTACAAAACTTGTTTCGCACACAGACAACCATGCAAGCCAAGAGATCAGGAAGATCCCTTCCTACTGGGCAGAACTGCTCTCTGGCTGGCATGGGAGGGGGAGCGTGCTAGAGAGGTTAACTTGTACTTTGAGCACCTTCAAAGGCTTTAAGAAAAGGAAACTGTGCACAAGCGTTAACCAGCTGTTTCTGTAGTGTTCTTTCTTCCTAAATGATTCTATCATTAGGATTTAAAAAAAAACGTTAGAAGGATCTGTCAGCTACGTTCACCCACAAAGAACCACTGTGGGTTCTAAGCCTGTGTGGAGTTATGGGGCACACAAAATACTACAAAGAATGACTTATTGTATATATTTATTAATATATGTATAAACAGTACATTATATAAATATATGTAATATTAAAATATGGGTATTTCACATAAGTCTGGAGTTATTACGCTGCCACTTAGCCCCTTTTAAATGTGAGAAAATAGAGAAAGAAGGGAGGGGAGTTACTCAGCCCGTCAGCCGCTCAGCAAAAACATGACCGAAAGTATGACAGCATTTACCTACCGAATATGTGTAAGACAACTGTGTTCTTTGCCGACTTTAAAACCTCAGAAGCCAGAAACGAAAGGAATACAGGCTCCCCTCCGCCAACCTGGTCAGTCTGTGCCTGACTCCTGTAACGCTGCACGCTAACCGAGAGCTGAGCCTTGCAGCTCATCTGCCAACAAAGTCCGCGGCCCGATACTCGAAAGGAGAAAAGAAAAAAGAGAAAAGCGACACCTTCCCAGGCGCTATGTCCTCGGGAGGCTGCCCCGCCGAGACAGCAGCGCCGAGCCCAGGCACCGCGGCTCGGTGCCGGCTCCGAGCCCCCAGTACGGGGCTGAGGGCGGCCGCCAGCGCTGTCACCGTGTCCCGCAGCGACACACACGGCGCTGCCACAGCGGCCACAAGCCCCGAGTCCGGCGGTCCCGCGAGGGGAGGCAGGGAAGGAGGAGAGCGAGGAGCGAAGCAGCCCGGAGCCACGGAGCCGGCAGGGGACGCAGCGCGGAGAGGACGGGGGAAGGGGGCAGGGAGGCTCCGCCAAAGTTGCACCAACGGGGGAAGCGGGCGAGCTACCGGGACCACCACCACCGCCACCGCCGCCGCGCCTCGCACAGCCCCGCGGAGGACGCGGGCCCCTACCTGGGCTGGGCGGCCACGGCCACGTCGCGCAGCCTCTCCCCGGTCCCGCTCAGCGGCCGCGCCGCGCAGGCTGCCCCGGCCCGCCCGCCGGCGACGGAGCAGGAAGCCGAGCGCCGCCGCACAGGCTGAGGCTGAGGCTGAGGCAGAGGAAGGCGCCGAGGCGTCGCGCCCGCCCCCTGCCGGTGGCGGACTGGGGCCGCATGGCGCCGCCCCACAGCCGCGCCCCAGGACCGAGAGGGGCAGGTGGTCGGGGAGGCGAGGTGCTGCCCGTCAGGGAGCGAGGCTGACCGTCCCCACAAGTCCTGCAGGCTGTCCCTACAAGCACTGCTGCCCGTCCCCACAAGTCCTGCTGCCCGTTCCCACAGGGCAGGCTCCTGCGGCAGCCCAGAAGGGTCTCCTCAGGGGGCCAGCGTGGTGAGGCCGAGGCTGCTAGGAGCCAAACCTAGGGCATGCTTTGGAGTCACATGTGCCATGAGGAGATTTGGAACAGAGAAACCGTAGTTGGTGTGTTGTGGACCATTTTGCATATGCTCAACTCTTCTTGACTACAACGTTTTGGATAATTCAGTGAAATTCTGTATTCAAAAAAAAAAAAAAAAAATCCCCTACATCTGTACACCCACAGACATGAATTTACAAGGCCAAGTGAAGAAAATGTGTTAGGCACATCTGAAATATCAGCCCAGTGACACAGTCTAGGAGAGAACAGGGAACAGTCTGGATGTCTGTTTTCCTCTCTGTCCCAAAGCAAACACAGTAATCATATCTTCTGAGATGGAATCATGGAATCACAGAATCACAGAACAGCTTGGGTTGGAAAGGATCTTAAAGATCATCTACTTCCACCCCCCTGCCATGGGCAGGGATGCCACCCACTAGATCAAGTTGCCCAGGGACTCATCCAAACTTGTCTTAACACTTCCAGGGATGACAACTTCTCCTGTCAACCTGTTCCAGTGCCTCACCACCCTCTGAGATAAGACATTCCTTCTAACATCTAACCTAAATCTTTAGTTTAAAGCACTCTTTTAGTTTAAAACCACTCCCCCTTGTCCTGTCATTATCTGTCCAAGCAAAATGTTGCTCTCCGTCTTTTCATAAGACCCCTTTAAGTACTGAAAAGCTGCAATGAGGTCTTCCTGTATTGGAAAGACGTTATAAGGTCACCCTAAAACCTTCTTTCCTCTAGACTGAACAGTCCCAGCTTTCTCAGCCTTCCTTCATAGGAGAGCTGCTCCAGCCCTCTGATCATCTTTGTGGCCCTCCTCTGGACCCACTCTAACAGCTTCACATCCTTCTTGTGCTGGGGACCCCAGACTTAGATGCAGCACTCCAAGCAGGGCCTCACAGTGGCAGAGCAGAGGGTGACAAACCCCTCCCTCCACCTGCTGGCTCCACTCCTCTGTTCATGCAGCCCAGGACACAGTTGGCCTTCTGGGCCGCAAGCATGCACTGCTGGCTCATGTTGAGCTTTTTGTCCACCACAACCCCCAAGTCCTTCTCTGTGGGGCTGCTCTCAATGAGTTCTTCCCCCAGTCTGTGCTCATGTCTGGGATTGCCCCGACCCAGGTGCATCATCTTGCAAGACTTGATGAATCTCTTTAGGTTTGTGTGGGCCCACTTCTCAAGCCTGTCCAGGTCCCTTTGGATGGCATCCCTTCCTTCTGTTGTATCAACCGCACCACTCAGCTTGGTGTCATCTGCAAACTTACTGAGGGTGCACTCAATCCCACTGTCTATGTCGTTGATAAAGATACTAAACAGTGTTCATCTCAAGACAGACCCCTGCGGGACACCACTCCTCACCAGCCTCCACTTGGATATAGAGACATTGACCACCACTCTCTGGGCGTGGCCTTCAAGTCAACTCTTTATCCACTGAATGGTCCACCCATCAAATCCATGTCTCTCCAATTTGGAGGTCAGGATGTCAAGTGGGACCAAAGTGGTACCATGTCAAAGGACTTACAGAAGTCCACGTGGATGACATCAGTCAGTCTTCCCTTATCAACTGATGCAGTCACTCCATCATAGAAGGCCACTAGACTGGTCAGGCACAATTTGCCCTTGGTGAAGCTGCTGCTGGCTGTTTCAGATCACCTCCTTGTCTTGCACGTGCCTTGACATTGCTTCCAGGAGGATCTGTTCCATGATCTTGCCAGGCACAGAGGTGAGGCTCACCAGTTTGTACTTCCCTGGGTCCTCCTTTCTACCCTTTTAAAAATGGGAGTCATATTTCCCTTTTGTTCAGTCACTGTGGACTTCACCTTACTGCCAGGAGTTCTCATATATGGTGGAGAGTGGCCTAGCAACTACATCAGCCAGTTCCCTCAGGACCCTGGGATGCATGTCATCAGGCCCCATAGACTTGTACTTGTTCAATTTCATCAGGTGGTCTCGAAACTGTTCTTCACTTAGAGTGGGAGGGACTTTGCTCCCCCAGCCCTCATGTAAAGGCTCAGGGAAATGAGAGACATGAGAAGCCTGACTGGCAGCACAGACTGAAGCACAGAAGTTGTTGAGTATCTCAGCCTTCTCCATGTCTGTCATTACCAGTTCTCCTTTCCCATTTATCAGAAGGAGAGATACCTTCCACCAGACCAGGTTGCTTAAAGCTCCATCCAGCCTGGCCTTGAACAGCTCCATGGGCAGGGCATCCACAGCTTCTCTGGACAACCTGTTCCAGTACCTCACCACTCTCATACATCATGTAAAAAATCTTCCTTATATCCAATACAAATCTACCCCATTTTGGTTTAAAATCATTGTTCCTTGTCCTATCACTACAGGGCTTGGTAAAAAGTCTCTTTCTTATAAGCCCCCTTGATATATTGAAAGGTTGCAGTAAGGTCTCCCTGGAAAATTATGATAAATCCAAATTTAATGTTATAGAACAGAACATGTATTTTCTGCTTTAAAAACAAACAAACAAACAAAAAACCTGTTAAAATCCTCTGATCAGTAGGACAGACAGAGCAGATCTAACTGAGTTATTTCAAAAGAAGAAAAGGTAAATTCCTTTTTCTGTCCTTAGCTATGCTCTGTGGCTGCTGTTTCTTTTTCATTTTCTGTTTCTCTTTCTTTTTCTTTTGGTGCTGGTCTTCATCAGGCCCCACTACGAGCTGTCAGAGGCAAGGAGATAACGCTGGCAGGACACTAACTGCTTTATTTTCTGGAATAAGATTTCTGTTGATGTAACTCCCTCAGCTGGACTGTTGCTGCGGTGTATATAGAAAGTGCTCAGGCAGCAGATAGGCAGACTCAATTACATTATTGTCAAACCACAAGGAGAGCACTTTTACAAAATCAGTGTGGTACTTCTCTTCTTTGTAGAGAACAGAGCCTCAGCTAAAATATAAGGCATATCACACATCATCAAAGTTAGGTAGACAAAAGGACATTTCTGTGTCTTATTTTAACCACCTCTGGTCAATATATCTTTCTTTTAACAGGTTTCAAATAACATACTTTGATACCAACTGCTCCTTGGTACAGGATGGTTGTTTGAACATCAGCCAAGTAATTTCTTCAGTAAATTCTCGTAACCCATTGAAGTTTCAGTCATGCAGTAATCTCAAAATGAGCAAAGAAATACCCTGTGGGTGGAACATTGCTCAAGAAAATGAGGACTTTATAGGTTTTATTTCTAAATGTTTTAAATAGATATATCTTAATTTGCCTGTTCTTTCAGTGTTTGATATACAAAATCCCACCATGTTCCCCTGACTAAATATTAGGTGGCACTGTCTGCATAGCAGACTCCTGAAGTCACCATATTAAAGGAGATTGGATCCTCTGATAAGTTAATGTTTGCACTAGGAAGAATCATGCTAAAAAGATAACGTAAATAGCAGTATGAACTTATCAAAAGAAGAAATCATTTTATAAGCACAATAATCAACACCTCTAACTACATCTTTATCATGGTCAAATAAATAAGTAAGACTTGAGAATGGTCGTGATTAAAGAACAGTAATTATCTACCTGACTGGAAAGGTGTCACAACTCACAGAAGGTGGAGAGTCACAGTCTTGCCGTTCAGCAGAAATATGTTAGCTGGCAGGAGCCCAAAGAGGAGAGATTGTTCCAGACCCCACAGTGTCTCAGGGAGGCTCTGAGTACAAGTGTCTGTGGATGTGGTTACATGAAACCTAGATTGCTTCATGCACAGCGTTGTGATGAACTGAAGGTAGGCTGCTGTTAATGACTCATTACTGAAGAATCACAATCCCTCACCAGTAAATCAAACCAGCAGCTGAACGTACTGATCTTACAAATGCAGCCTGTGCATGAATGCTTTATATGATTTGGTGTAGAAACAAAGTGCTTCTACATTCAGCTTGTTACCACAACTACTGGCATTAGGGGGTGATTTTTAAGTAGCACACGACCATGATTTGATTCCAGTGAGATGTTCTGGGCATGTACAAGCATCACTGTGCCAGAGATACCATTCCTACTTATCAACAAAGCTTCTGCATGAATATTAGAGGAACTTGTGCCAGGATTAAGCAACAGTATATCTCATTTATGAATTAGGCTGAAAGAAATTTGCTTTCATGGTTTATACTGCTAATCTAATCAAGCCTCTGTTGTATATTGGTTCTGATACAATTTTGCTGGTGTTTATGATTTATATGATTACATTTTCTTTTTTTTTTTTTTTCTTTTTTTCCTAATTTTCCTGATAATAAAATAGCTGTGGCCATTAAGTACAAATAAGGTCTACACCTACAAGGGTTTATTTTGTTTTTTATTATTGTCTGTGGTGAATTAACCATTTTTTGCTCCTGTAGATTGAGAAATTCATTTATAGCATGGTTACAAAAGCAAACACATTTCATAGCCACATAGGAGGTTCTAAATGCTACAATTTTTAAGATCCACAATGCTTATATATATCTAAAACTATAAAACAACAAAATATCTTCTTTTTATAATTTAAATGTTAAATTCCAAGGGGAAAACAACAACAACAACAAAAACAAAAAACCAAACAGCAACAAAACAAAACAAAACAAAAAAACAACAGCTATACTCTAAATATTTATTTTGCGAATGTCAGAAAGTAAGATGTCTTAAGAATTTGGGTACATTGGGTCTGAACAAAGATGAATTTGGTGGCCTGAACTGAAACCCATATCTCTGATGAA